CATTGTTCTCTATAGTACTTTTCTTCCCTATGCTATCTTCAATGTTCCCTACTTCGTTTTCCAGAACAAATTAACCAGATGCAATTTTCCTGCATCCCATTCCCCAGTAGCACTATTTAGAAGTATGCAGTTCTACTGAAGTGTCTCTCATCAGTGCTTGGAGGACCATTTGGTGCTTAGGATAAAACCCAGGAATCTCGACTGCAATGAGTGTGTTCCAGCCCGTTGAATGATCTTTCTGGTTTCTTTGACATGCTTCTAGACAATATCCTTGCCATATCTTCCTCTTGATCAAAACACAGTCTAGACATTGCACACTTGACTTCTGCTTATTGTCTTCATTGATTCTTCCTAATCCAATTAAATAAAAATGCCCCTCTGTCCCCCAACCCCCTCTCTCTTTTATGTTGCTGGGGATTAAACTCAGGTCCTCTAAACACAAGATATTCACTTTACCACTGAGCCACATCACCAAAAAGAGAGTGATTTTCAACTCCAAATATGTTTGATGTCAATGTTCCTAACTCTACACTCTACATGATTTTACACATGTTCATAAGTGTATGTTGAGTGGGAAAAAAAAGTGAGTACTGGTTTCCCAAAAGGTATAATGTACAGATTGTGGGGGAGTCCTATGATTAAAAACAGCTTCCCTACTGGTGACATTGGTGGTGGAAAATGTACACTGGTGGAGGAATGGGTGTCGATCATTGTATGACTGAAACTCAAACATGAAAGCTTTGTAAGTGTAGCTTATGGTGATTCAATTTAAAAAACAAAAAAGCTTCCCTGCATATGGACAGTGGGATTTTTGCCTTATAGAGAACCTCAAATAAGCAAGGGTGAAAAACACATTTTGTTATTAGTAGAACTACATACTTCTAAATAGTGCCACTGGGGAATAGGATGCAGGAAAATTACAACTGGTAGATAATTTGTTCTGGGAAATGAAGTGGGAGACATTGAAACTAGCATAGGGAAGATGAATATGTCAGAGAACAATGCTAATGATATCAATAATAGACACTAATGAAAATACCTACCATTTGCTGAGTGTCTTCTATGTTTTGGACATTTAATAAATTTATCACCACTTATTTTGTATCAAACTACCCATAAGCTTAGGGTGATGTCTCATAAACCTCTCATAATGATCCTATGAGGTAGGCAGTTCTTTATTTCATTGATTCTAAGAGAATATCAATTTAACAAAAGCTTTTTACAGAAAAATATACATTACTCTGGTACCGCAAAAAGAAACATAACACAAATTAACACTTCACAGTGATGTTCTGTTGTGTTGTGATCTTGCTAATGGAACAAGAATATATTTGTTTATAATAATCACTTTATTTCACAGAATAACAAAGCAAGTCCAAACACACACCTTGTATTCGGTCTGAGTCATCTGGCTCTATTGAGTTGTACATATAAATCTCTCCATAACTGACATGGTCTTCAGACTTCAGGTATTTTTAGTATTGATCATGTCATTTCTAGCAGAATAAAGAGTACAGTTAATTAACTACAAGTTAGTAAATTTGTGATCCTCTCCCTGGTTGTTATATCTAACTTTTGACTGAGAGTTATATCTTCTCAATATACAACCACACAGCCTATCTTGCTTTGAAAATTATGTGATCTATATTTAGAGATTTGTCTTCTTAATAGGCCAGCGTTGACTTTTCAATGCATTCCTCTGGCGATGCACAAGATTTCTATATTATTTGAAGTGTTTATTAAAAAAATAAATTTCTAAGGGCTAAAGAGAAAGTACAGCAGGTAGGGCTCTTGCCTTGCAGGAGACCAACCAGGGTTTGATCCTTGGCATCCTATATTATCTCCCAAGCACCACCAGGAGTAATTCCTGAATGTATAGCCAGGAGTAACTCCTGAGCATCATCTGATGTGGCCCCAAAACCAAAGTAGATAAATAAATACAGTCACGGTCATGGTCCTCCCGTTATTCATCAATTTGCTTGAGTGGACCCACTAATCTCTCCATCATGAGACTTGTTGTTACTGTGTTTGGCAATTGAATATGTCACGGGTTGCTTGGTAAGCTTTGCCATGTGGACGAGATACTCTTAATAGCTTGCCGGGCTCTCCGAGAGGGGTGGAGGAATCAAACCCAGCTCAGATAAATAAAATAAAATAAAATGAATTTCTATTACTTTTAAAATATTTTAAGTGTGTCTTGGAAGCAGTTTGTTGGATTGAAAATTAAAGAGTTTAACATCATATAAACTCTTAGCTAGTGAGTTATGCCACTCATTAGGAATCCAAACCAAGTCTGTCACAGACTTCTCAATGTTTGATAGTTTCATTGTAGTTTTTTTCCATTGGAGAGTTGTGCCTGGTGTACTCAGGTTCTACTACTCAGTTTATTGCTCTGAAGGTTTTCTCATTAGTGTCCAGGTCCATGTCCAGGGCTCCCATATACAATGCATGTGCTCCAGTACTTTGAGCTGTCTCCCAGGCCAAAGGCACAATTGTTTCATCCCTGTCTTGCATCCAGTTAGGCTTTTCTTTCCCCAGTGCATCAGAGAGCTACTCTTGTTGAGGTCATTGATGGCCTCCACATGACTGAATTTATTGGCCAGTTCCTAGTTGCCATGTCATTTGAGTAGTGTATGTCTCTATTCTTTATATTTTTTTGCCACACCCAACAGTGCTCAGGGTTTACTTCTAGCTCTGCACTCAGAAATTATTCATTTGAGGTGCTTGGACACCATACGGGATGCTGAGGATCAAACCCAGGTTAGTTGCATGAAAGGCAAATACCCTACCTTCTGGACTGTTGCTCCAGCCTCCCAGGTCTCTATTCTCAGCCTCTCTCAGGTCACAGCATCACTTTGGGGGCCTTCTGGGTTTCTTTTCCTTATTCTTCTTTATTTTCCCTACTCCCATGAACAACATATCCTACGTTGCTTCTGTACTGACCTCATCTAGTCCCTTAACTGGCTTCTATAACAGATGTAACGCCAATGTTGCAAGGAAATCTGCAGCCCCCACAGCTCTCATCAATCCTTCTGCCTACTCTACATCACTCCTTAGATGTCTAATTGGCATTGAAAACTTAATGTCTTAAACCACATTCCTATTTTCCACCTCCACCACATCCTCAACTGGCTCCTTTTGCATCTCAATAGATGGTAACTTTCCTCTTCTAGTTGACTGGATTAAAAAACTTTTAAGTCATTCTTGATACTTCTCTTTTTCCTCCTGCACTTCATTATTTCATGAATCCTACCAGCTTGATCTTAAAATTACATTTAAAACGTAATCCCTTATAGGGCTGAAGTGATAGTTCAGCGACTAGGGTGCTTGCCTTGCATGCAGCCAACCCTGGTTTGATCCCTCTCATCCCATATGCACCCCTGAGCACCACCAGGGGTAATTTCTGAGTGCAGAGCCTGTAGTGAACCATGAGCATTGCTGGATGTGGCCCCCAAACCAAAAATAAATAAAGATGTTTTTTGTCTTTACAAAAACAATCCCTCATGGAAAGGAAAATGCTCAAAGGATTGGATCACAGGTGGGGGAAGCCTCAGGTTCAAGCCCCGCCTTGGCCCCATTTTGTACCCATATTCCAACACTGCCTGGTGTGGCCCTTGATCTAAAATTTATATCTTTTCCTACCAACATGTCTGAGTTCCTCAGCTCATGTCACTGATCCTCCAATTCCACCCAGCACCTTAGCAGTCTCCTACTTACCCAGCAGCCAAGGGGACCCTCCACAGCGCATATCTGGCCATGCCATTGGAAGCTTAAAACTAGGAACTCTGGATCACAAAGTAGAAGTCAAAATGCTGGGGCCAGAAAGATTATGCAGTGCATAAGGTGCTTGCTTTGCACACAGCCAACCGGGTTTGATTCCCCTCATCCCTGTGGTCTCCCAACCCACAAGGACTGATTCCTGAGTGCAGAGCCACGAATCACCCCTGAACACCTCTGGGTATGGCCCCCCAAACAAACAAACAAACAAACAAAAAAGTCAAAACGCTGCTGGCTGACCAAGCTCTTTGTTGTCTATGCCTGCTTGCAGTCTGACTCCCATGTTCCCCTGCCCTCCTTGCTCACTGTTCCTCAGCCAGAATGGAGCCCTTACTAGGTAAAGGTAAAGGTAAAGGCCCTCCCGTTGATCGTCGATTTGCTTGAGCGGGCCCAGTAACGTCTCCATTGGAGACTTTGTTGTTACTGTGTCTGGCATATCGAATACTCTCGGTAGCTTGCCGGGCTCACCGAGAGGGGCGGAGGAATCGAACTCGGGTCGGCCATGTTGGCCGCTTGTAAGGCGAACGCCCTACCGCTGTGCTATTGCTCCAGCCCTTACTAATATGCCAAATACTCTGTTGCTATGACCTGTACTAGGAACTAATGGGCTTCCCCAGAAACTTCCTCTTTCCCCAGATTTTCATATGAAATTCAACCTCATTTTCTTTTCATTTTTTTCCCCTTTGTCTTATTGTGTCTGGGATTACTCTTGTCTCTGCACTCAGGAATTCCTCCTGGCAGTGCTCAGGGGACCACATGGGATGCTGGGGATTGAAACAAAGTTGGCTGCATACGAGTGTCCTACCCACTGTACTTTGTCCCTGCCCTTCTGCCTCATTTTCTTGAGGTATTCTCGGAAGTTTCTCTAACACCTTTATACTCTGCCTGCAAAACAAGTACCTCCCAGAATTCTATCCAACTTACACTGATGAACTTACTCCTGACTCCCCTTGAAGTAGGCTAATCTGCTGATGGTGAGTGCAAAGACAGTTCAGGTAGGCACTGCTGTTTCCCAGTACTTAGAACAGAGGCTCGGTGAATATTTAATTGGCAGGCAGAGGGCCAATCAGTGGACAGCCCAGTAGAGCTGGGGCTCTGCTCCACTGCCTCACACTTCTCCTCTGCCCAAACTGCACAGCCAGAATGACTCCTTCAGATCATCACAGAGGACGAAGCAGGGATCCGCTCTGCCCAGGCTGACTTCTGCCTCTGTCTCCCTCCAGGTTAATGGCTTTCCCAGTTTCTGGGAGGCTTTTGCTATGACCACATCCTTCATACTGAGCCAGGACTGCCCCCTGCTGCCACAGCCACACCAAGTACCTGGTCCTTCCCACCTGTCCTTGGTCCCAAGTCACCATGGGCAGCGTCAGCAGCCTCATCTCTGGCCACAGCTTCCACAGCAAACACTGCCGTGCCTCACAGTATAAGCTGCGCAAGTCCTCCCACCTCAAGAAGCTCAATCGGTATTCTGACGGGCTGCTGAGATTCGGCTTCTCCCAGGACTCAGGTCATGGCAAATCCAGTTCCAAGATGGGCAAGAGCGAAGACTTCTTCTACATCAAGGTCAGCCAGAAGGCCCGGGGCTCCCACCGTCCAGATTATACTGCATTGTCCAGTGGGGACCTAGGGGGGCAAGCAGGGCTGGACTTTGGCCCATCCACCCCACCCAAACTCATGCCCTTCTCCAACCAACTAGAAATGGTGAGTGTATGTATATAGGGAGTGTATGTGTGTGTTGGGGGGGGGGGGGCGGGGGGGGGAGAGGTTGGATTCTCGTAAAAGTGGGTTGGCTTGAGAGGCAAAATAGGGGTAGGAGAGGGGCTACTGTGGAGACTTAAAGATATAGATCTTCAAGAGAACAGAACAGTAGGGATCAGAGCGATAATACAGTGAGTAGGACATTTGCCTTGCTCAGGACTGACCTGGGATCAATCCCTGGCATCCCATCAGGTCCCCTGAGCACATCCAGGAGTAATTCTTGAGTGCAAAGCCAGAAGAAATCCTTGAGCATTGCTGGGTGTGGGCCAAAAACAAACAAAAAATTAAAGAGAGCAGAACAGTAGTGTGAAGCTAGAACTACTTAGTCACATCACATCGATCAAAAATCATTACAAGGAATTGAAGCTCTGGTCAGTTCCCAATCTAGAAATTTAGAGTGAGGTGCAGAGTGATGGTACAGGGGGTAGGTTGCTTGCCTTGCACATGGCCAACCTAGGTTTGATCCTTGGCACCCCATATGGTCCCCTGAGTGCAGAGCAAAGAGTAAGACCTAAATAATGCTGGATATGGCCCCCAAAATGAAAAAAAATAAAATAGTAATTTAGAGTGAGCCCTTACACACACGCACATGCACGCACACGTACACACACACACACACACACACACACACACTCTAGAACAAAAGCCTTTATTGCTTTGCTGGCATATGGCTCTAGGTTGTCAGTAAGAGCATCCCCTCACCTCCCTCACCTACTATATTGGTGACTAAGCCTTGGGGCTTACACATGCAATGCGGGTGCACTGCTTCTAAATGGAGCCCAAGAGCAATACTTTTAAGCACACAGAAAGGGGAGAGAGCACTGTACCTGGAAAAGCAGGCAGAGGGTCTCTGAAGAGAGCTCCAGATGCTTGAAGATTCAGAGATGTGCCTTTCCCACATTTCCTGGCTGCAGGGAAGAGCTGGGAGTTTGTTATCACGATCAGTTGAGCAGGGATGAAGGCAAATGATTTTTATTTCTTCTTTTTGTTTTGAATTCACAGCCAGCAGTGCTCAGAGCTTACTTTTGGGCTTTTCCCCCAGAGATCATTTGGGGATACCTGGTGGGTTCCATTTGGTATGCTGGGGATCCGACCCAGGTCAGCCATGTGCAGGGCAAATACCTTCCCCATTATATTTTTTGCTCTGACCCAAAGGCAAAAGACAATCTCCGTAGTCAGAAGCCCAGTCTTCATGCTCACTTAAGTACTTATGGGGCCCCTGTGAACAGTTTTCCTATTTAGTCCAACCCCACCATAAGAAAATTAATCCATGGCTTTGATATACTAGTAAGATAAAGGTAAAGGCCCTCCCGTTGATCGTCGATTTGCTCGAGCGGGCCCAGTAACGTCTCCATTGGAGACTTTGTTGTTACTGTGTCTGGCATATCGAATACTCTCGGTAGCTTGCCGGGCTCTCCGAGAGGGGCGGAGGAATCGAACTTGGGTCGGCCATGTTGGCCGCTTATAAGGTGAACGCCCTACCTGCTGTGCTATGCCATATTTGGGTTTTGGGTTTTTTTTTCTTTTTGGGTCACACCCAGCGGTGCTCAGGGGTTACTCCTGGCTCTGCACTCAGGAATTACTCCCTGCAGTGCTTGGGGAACCATATGGGATGCCAGGGATCGAACCCAGGTTGGCTGCATGCAAGGCAAACACCCTACATGCTGTGCTATCGCTCTGGTCCCATTGCATAGAGCTTTTCAAAGTAAAGGATTTGTAAACTATAAATGATTTTGTCAATGAAATGGCAATTTTTTTTTAAAAAATGGTCATTTCAAGTGATCTTTCCAACGCTTCAAGAGGATTGTAATCAATATTCTTACTCCAGCCTTCTGGAAGGACAGTACTAATACATCCTGCTTGTCCTTACCCTGACCACACAGAAACCTAGAGGTTGCATCTTTGCTTGTGAAACTGAAAATGCTGCTCATCAGCTCAGGAGGGCTGGGAGGAGCTGATGACAATTCATGTCTTGGTGATAACTCAGATATCCCCTAGGTATGTGGGAATTTATCATTCTTGAGACTGTCACTTCCTTCACCATCCAAATAGATGAGATCGCCTCTAGTCTCATCTCCAAAAGGGGCCGTGTGGCTATGGCTGGCTCAAGCTGAGGAGACGGGATAGTATTGAGTAATCCTGAGTCATTGTGGTTCTTTTTATTTATTTATTTATTTATTATTATTATTTGTTTTTATTGAATCACTATGAGATACAGTTGCAAGATTTCTTTTCTTTTTGGCTTTTTGGCTTTTTGGGTCACACCCGGCAATGCACAGGGGCACAGGGGTTATTCCTGGCTATTGCACTCAGGAATTACTCCTGACGGTGCTTGGGGGACCATATGGGATGCTGGGAATTGAATCCAGGTCAGCTGTGTGCAAGGCAAACGCCCTTCCCGCTGTGCTATTGCTCTAGCCCCCAGTTACAAACTTTCATGTTTGAGTTACAATCATACCATGATCAAACACGAATCCCTCCGCCAGTACACATTCCCCACCACCTATCTCCCCAGCATACCCACCCTTTCCCACCCTCCCCCTGCTTCCATAGCAATTTCCCCCATATTCTCTCTCTACTTTTAGGCATTATGGCTTGAAATACAGATACTGAGAGGTTACCACATTTGGTCCTTTATCTACTTTCAGCACACATCTCCCATCCCAACTGATCCCTCCAACCATCATTATCTTAGTGGTTCTTTTAAAACACGTTTTATCTACTTGGGCTGGAGCGATAGCACAGCAGTAGGGCATTCGCCTTACAAGCGGCCAACATGGCCGACCCGAGTTCGATTCCTCTGCCCCTCTCGGAGAGCCCAGCAAGCTACCAAGAGTATTCGATATGCCAAACACAGTAACAACAAAGTCTCCAATGGAGACGTTACTGGGCCCGCTCAAGCAAATCAACGATCAACGGGAGGGCCTTTACCTTTTACCTTTATCTACTTAGTTAGAGACCCATGATTTATAAAGTTATTGATAGTGGAGTCTTTGGCATAGAACACTCCGACACCAATCCCACCACCAGTGTCAGCTTCCCTCTAACAGGTTCCCAAACTCCCTCCCCAACTCCCCTCAGCCCCAACTCCCCACATGGCCCTTACAGGCACGCTTCAAAGTTCGATGGTTGCTGTTTAGATCTCATGTTCTTCCCTTGTCCAGGGCTCAGAGAAGGCTGCCATGAGGCCCACGGCGTTCAAGCCCGTGCTGCCACGGTCAGGAACCGTCCTGCACTCATCCCCCGACAGCACCAGCCACCAGCTACACCCCGCGCCTCCAGACAAGCCCAAGGAGCAAGAGCTAAAGCCTGGCCTGTGCTCCGGGGCACTGTCTGACTCGGGCCGGAACTCCATGTCGAGCCTGCCCACACAGAGCACCACCAGCAGCTACCAGCTCGACCCTCTGGTCACCCCCGTGGGACCCACCAGCCGATTCGGGGGTTCCGCTCACAACATCACGCAGGGCATCATCCTCCAGGACAGCAACATGATGAGCCTGAAGGCTCTGTCTTTCTCCGACGGGGGCAGTAAGCTGGCCCACCCAGGCAAGGTGGACAAAGGTTCCTCTTGCATCCGCTCACCCATCTCCACCGACGAGTGCACCATCCAGGAGCTGGAGCAGAAGCTGCTGGAGCGGGAGAGCGAGCTGCAGAAACTGCAGCGCAGCTTCGAGGAGAAGGAGCCGCCCCCCTACGAGGAGCGGCAGCGTCGCGGCAAGGATGAGCTGGAGGGCCTGGAGCACAAGTGTGGAGGCAGGTTGAAGCAGGCCTCGCAGAAGAGCCAGCGGGCCCAGCAGGTGCTCCACCTGCAGGTGCTCCAGCTCCAGCAGGAGAAGCGGCAGCTCCGGCAGGAGCTCGAGAACCTCATGAAGGAGCAGGATCTCCTGGAGACCAAACTCCGGTCCTATGAGAAGGAGAAGACCAGCTTTGCCCCCGCACTGGAAGAGACCCAGTGGGAGGTGAGGCCAGTCGGCGAGGGACGGGGTGGGTCCATGTTTGTGTCTCTCCTCCAGGTTCTTTTTTTCTATTTTTTTTTTCTGGGAGGGGGGAGGTGGGTCACATTCGGCAATGCTCAGGAATTACTTTTACCTCTGCACTCAGGAATCACTCCTGGTGGTGCACGGGTTGACCATAGGGGATCTCGGGAATTGAACCTGGGTCGACTGTGTGCAAGGCAAACATCTTACCCACTGTGCTATCACTCCAGCCCCCAAAATGTAAATATAAAAGCAATAAATATAAAAGCAATCCTGGAAAATAGGTGCTATTTCTAGTCCTTGATTTACAGTTTAGGAAATGAAGGCACAAAGAGGTCAGCCTTGCCCAAGGTCATCATATGGTGTTTACCAGAGCCAGGATTTCATTCTAATAGTGTGGCCCTAAAACTTACTTTTTTGGGGGTTTAGGTTGTTAGCACCTACCCAAGGAGTATTCAGGAACTATTCCTAACTGTGCTCAGGAGTAACACTAGGGAACCATATGCAGTGCCCAAGAGTGAACCAGAATTTAATTCATGTAAGGCAGATGCCTTTCCTTAACCAACCCTTGATGCTGAGGAGAGGGATATAGTTGTTCATCTTTTGGCTTATCCTTAACCCAGCAAGGGGGAGAGACATCTAGGTGTGTATGTGTGTGGGTGAGATCAGAGGTATGGACATAAACATGGATTAGAGGTTTGGCAGACACTGAAATTGGATGATGGATTAAACCATGATCAGTGATTATATATAGTCGTGGGTTTTATTTCAATCAAATACAGATTGGAGATGTGAAACACTCTGAGTTAGACTAAGCCAGATCTTGACCGTTCTGAGTCACCCAGACCAGCCCTGCTTGAGAGTTTTGGATCGCCCCATATAACGACCAGCTAAATAATTTTTATTTTTGAGGGGGGAGAAATAAAGAGTGGTGGGACTTCCAGGGTCACACACAATAGTACTGGGGACACTATTATAAAGTGGCAGGGATCAAAGGCAAGTTACTACATGAGTCGAGCCAGACGTGAATTTCAGTCCTCTGAAACATCTCCTCCACTCCAGATGAGCTTAATTATTTGTTTCCGTGCCATTTCCTCAGAGATAAAAGCCTCACCTCCGGCTCTCTCTTCTCCCCCACCTCTCCACCCACCCCACCAGGTCTGCCAGAAGTCCGGCGAGATCTCTCTCCTGAAGCAGCAGCTGAAGGAGTCCCAGATGGAGGTCAACGCCAAGGCCAGCGAGATCCTCAGCCTCAAGGCGCAGCTGAAGGACACGCGGGGCAAGCTGGAGGGCCACGAGTTAAAGACCCAGGACCTGGAGAGCGCCCTGCGCACCAAGGGGCTCGAGCTGGAGGTCTGCGAGAACGAGCTGCAGCGCAAGAAGAATGAGTCGGAGCTCCTGCGCGAGAAGGTGAACCTGCTGGAGCAGGAGCTGCTGGAGCTGCGGGCCCAGGTGGCCCTGCAGCGCGAGGGGGTGTGCGTGGCGCCCACCTTCTCGGAGGACATCCCCGCCCTGCAGCGGGAGCTGGAGCGCCTGCGCGCCGAGCTGCAGGAGGAGCGGCAAGGCCATGACCAGATGTCCTCCGGGTTCCAGCACGAGCGGCTGGTGTGGAAGGAGGAGAAGGAGAAGGTGATCCAGTACCAGAAGCAGCTGCAGCAGAGCTACCTGGCCATGTACCAGCGGAACCAGCGCCTGGAAAAGACCTTGCAGCAGCTGGCGCACGGGGAGGGCGCGGCGGAGCCTTTTGACATCGATCTGGAGGGGGCTGATATCCCCTATGAGGACATCATAGCCACGGAGATCTGAGGGGCGTCCTGGGAGCGAGAGGGCCAAGGCATGAGCTCCGGGAGGTCGGGGTCACGGACAGACTCCCAGGAACAAACAGGAGCCTCTGAGGATGCCGAGGGGGCTGGGAAAAGGCTCCCAGAGGTCCTCTCCTCCCCTTTACATTTTCCTAGTACTGACAGTCCCTGCGGGTCCCAGCTTCAGGCTCGGTTCCTGCAGCTTTCCCAGCAGGCAAGCCCAGGACTATTTAGGGTTAAACAACCCTCAGGCTCTTGTTCAAAATACTCACCCTCTCCCTTTGGAGGGATGGTGCCCAGAAAGCCATGGTCACCCTGATGATAATCACGTCCTTCCACCTCTCTTTCTCGAACCCCTTTCCTCCCAGACTCACTGGGGTGCCTTGGGAATAGAAAGACTCCTCGTGCCTGAGGTGCAGGACATGCCAGGCTGCCCAGGAGCGTCTGGAATCAGGAGGTCCAGAGGGCTCAGAGGGAGGGGGTGGGGGGGTGAGGGCCATATCCTGAACCCTACTAGCCACTCCCAGACTCTTGGGGTTGCTGGCCTTTGACTGCAGTGAGGACTCTTCTTTGGGGGTGGTGCTACTCTAGTTCCTCCTGGCTCGGTACTCAGGGGTCACTCCTGGAAGTGCTGGAGAGGGGTTCCCTGACCAGGGTCTTCTGCCCTGTCTCTGCCTCCATTAAAGCCATAAGTACTGAGGCCCTGAGGATGCTGGAAGAGAAGCCTGCAGGCCCCTAGAGGCAGGGAGGGTGGTTTTCCAGGTACCCCTGCAGAGCTTCTAGATCTTTCCAGGTGAGGCTGCAGAAGGGCTTTTCCTGCCTTGTTCAAGATGGGGATCAGCTGCACTGAATTAGTTCCCCTCCCCCCCTCCCATGAATCAGGTCTTTGCTGAGTCCAGAGTGAGCTGTACCCACAAGGCTATGTTGGGACGAGTGTCCACTGTGTCTAGGGAGGCTGTATCCACTAGGCTGTGGTGGGGGAGTGTCTACTATGTCCAGGGAAGCTGGACCCACTAGGCTTTGTTGGGGGAGCATCCACTGTGTTCAGGGAAGCTGGACCCACTAGGCTGTGTTGGGGGAGTGTCCACTGTGTGTCCAGGGAAGCTGGACCCATTAAGCTGTGTTGGGGGGAGCATCGACTGTGTCGAGGGAAGCTGTGCCTGCTAGGCTGCTTTGGGGGAGCATCCACTGTGTGTCAGGGAAGCTGTGCCCATTAGGCTGTGTTTGGAGGAGTGTCCACTGTGTCAAGGGAAGCTGCACCCATTAGGCTGTGTTGGGGGAGTGTCCACTGTGTTCAGGGAAGCTGTACCCACTAGGCTGTGTTGGGGGAGTGTCCACTGTGTGTCCAGGGAAGCTGGACTGTGTTAGGGGAGTGTCCACTGTGTCCAGGGAAGCTGGACTCATTCGGCTGTATGGGGGGGAGTGTCCACTGTGTTCAGGGAAGCTGTGCCCACTAGGCTGTGTTGGGAGAGTGTTCACTGTGTCCAGGGAAGCTGGACTCATTAGGCTGTGTTGGGGGGAGCGTCCACTGTGTGTCCAGGGAAGCTGGACTTATTAGGCTGTGTTGGGGGGGAGTGTCCACTGTGTGTCCAGGGAAGCTGGACTCATTCAGCTGTATAGGGGGGAGTGTCCACTGTGTCCAGGGAAGCTGGACTCATTCAGCTGTATAGGGGGGAGTGTCCACTGTGTTCAGGGAAGCTGTACCCACTAGGCTGTGTTGGGGGAGTGTCCACTGTCTAGGGAGGCTTTACCCACTAGGCTGTGTTGCGGGAGTGTCCACTGTGTCTAGGAAAGCTGGACCCACTAGGCTGTGTTGGGGGGCAGCGTCCACTGTGTGTCCAGGGAAGCTGGACTCATTAGGCTGTGTTGGGGGTAGCGTCCACTGTGTGTCCAGGGAAGTTGTGCCTACTAGGCTGTGTTGGGGGAGGTGTCCACTGGGCCCTCTCCTTTGGGGCGCACTTTGTTATTACCTCCTGTGCCAAATCCAGGCCAGAGTCCTTCCTGGTTAGGAGTCGACCCCAGATGGCTTATGGGCAGTAGGCCCGGGGAGGATGTGGAGGGGAGAATAACCTTTGAACAGCCACGCAACACCTGCTGGCCTCCATCCACCTACAGTCCCCTGTGAACCCAGCAGAAGATTCCAGAGGACTGCCCCTTGTGGGTCCATTTGGTCAGGGTTCCCTGAGAGCCATGCAGAGCTGGGGGCGGGGCAGGGCAGGGTCCTGTCAGCATGAGATAAAGGGGCTGGATTCAGGGTATTTTCCCCCCATCCTTCTCTTTTCTCCTTTCTTCTTTCTCTCAGTCCTTCCCTATCTTCTACTGTCTTCTCTCCTTCCCTTTCCTTCTCCTTCAGTTCCCCTCAATCCCCCTCCCTCTCTCTCCTTCTCCCTTTCTCTCTGTCTCTCCCTCTCCCTCTCTTCCCTCCCTCCTTCTCCGTATGTTTTTTCTTTCTCTCCACCCTCTCTTTCTTTTCCACTCCCCACCCCTTCTCTTCCTCTTTCCCCCCTGCCTGCCCAACCCTCCCCCCCTCCATCTCTGTCCCCTCTATTTCTCCTCCTTCTAGACTTCTCAGACGCAGGCCAGACCTAGCAGGCAGCCAGGCTCTTCCCTGTTCTATTTTTGCTTCTAGCCACAGCTGCTGTTCTTAGGATAGCCGGGCTAGCTGGATTCCTGAGCCCCAGGGGCCCGCTGAGAGCTGTGCAGCTAGGTAGGAGGACCGAGCCAGTCTGGGAACATAGCAATTGGAGAACTAAATGAATCCTGGGTCTGGACCACCGGCCAACCCTCCAGGCTCTGGTGAGAGCAAGGAACTGTTTCCTTTCCTGCCCACTGCTCCCCACATCCTGCCAGGCCCATCCTTCCCTGAGTCTGGACTGTGCCCCCTCTGCGATGGTTTCTTCCTTCTGGTCCCTGCGATGGAGAAAGTGTTCTGAAATGTCAGTCATTGTTCTTAGATTTCTGATTTAACTTGGGGATGAACAGGCCCAGAGCCGCTTCATTTCCTGGAGTCAGTACCTCCAGGAGGCTGCGTGCAGACCCCCAAGTCACAGATGTGGTGACTGGGTTCCTCTGCAGCCACCTGCCTGGGTGTGAGTCCTTCCTAGTGATAGGCAAAGAGGCCAGCTGCAGACCAGTGCACCCCCAGCATCCTCCCTCCCAAGGAGCAGCCCAGCGTGCTGTGCTCTGCTTCAGAAGAGGCAGAGGCATTGGGCAACCCCTGCCCCCTGCATCACCACTGTCCCACCACAGGCCACCGTGCAGATGTCCTCCTTGGCTTGCTGCCAGCCCAAGGCCTTAAGGCGTTCCACTGTGGCACCCGAGAGCAACAGAATGCACCCTGTAACATAGTGACTGCCAGGGAGTAGCCTTGCTTCATCTCTGTGGAAAAACATCCTTCCTGCCCCAAACCAAGCCTAACCCAGCACCAGGAACGAGGCCATGATGGCAGGGGCTCAGCAGGAACGGGAAAAGTCAGCCGACCCGAGCCTCCACCTGGACTGACTCACTGACCACTCCTGCAGGATGCCCACTTCCTACCTGTCTCTTCCCCCTGCAAGCTGTCTGCAAAAAACCTGGCCCGCACCTCTCCTGGGGCGGGACTCTGCTTGGACCCTTGGAATGCCTGGCACCCTGGAACCTTTCTACGTACGTCCTCTGACTGCTGGACTGTTGGGATGGACAGCACTTGGGTTCAAGGGTTCTGGGCTCCGGCTCATTCCTCCTCTGTCAAGGTCAGCCAGGCACGCCTGTGGGGCAGCAGTGGAGTGACACTGTCCCCGAGAGCCTGAGTTCTCAGCACACAGCAGACTGTGCATCATGCCCACCACTGCCCTCCTCACCAGGGTTTCCTGGCCCGTGCCCACAGGCAGAGCGGGAACCTGGCTGAGGCAGCCATGGAGGGGCTGGCATTTGCAAGAGTGGAATATGCCAGTTTTTCTCTTGGTTGACCTTTGTTGGTTTTGCATTGCTTTTACTAGCTTTGTTTTATTTTATTTTATTTTTTTGATGCCCCTTTTGGCTATGTAAACTATTTCTGGTAATTTTATGTTTTTATTTATGAATAAAGAATTCATCTCATGTCATTCATCATTGCTTCTGTGTGTCTGTTCAAGTTGCCCCCTCCTCCTGTAGCCTCTCTGGTGGGAACCAACAAAGGAGACAGAATGGCCTGGGCGTGACCATTTCTGATTCCAAGGAAGGCCTGGGACATTTTTATGCCACTCCCTGCCACTCACCAACTCTGAGAACATGGGCCTTGGGGTCACCCTCAGGTAGGTGAAAAGGAGACTGAGGGACTCCTCAAACCCCAGCTCAGAACTCCCTGCTGCTCTCCTCCTGCCGTGCCCTGAACCAATCAACTCCTTGGCCTATTGCACATGGCCTTGGCAGGGGACCAGGATGACTGCTGTCACCACTACTGCAGGGTCTGCAGGCTAGGAAAGTTCATCCAGTACCACAACCATCTGGCCAGTCTGCTTCGAGCCAGCCTGCTTTAGTCACTTCAAATATTCCCTACTTCTCAGGGGCTGGAGCAATAGCGCAGCGGGTAGGGCATTTGCCTTGCACGCGGCTGACCTAGGTTCTATTCCCAGCGTCTCATATGGTCCCCTGAGCACCACCAGGGGTAATTTCTGAGTGCAGAGCCAAGAGTAACCCCTGTGCATCTCCGGGTGTGACCCAAAAAGAAAAAAAATTCCCTGCTTCTCTGAACTCAAATTCTGGCCTCCAAGACCTTCTATTCATGGAGAACATGTAAAGCAAATCAGGAACACGGAGGGGTTGTGGAGTGGGGCAGATCTACAGGGGCTGTGGTGTCAGGATGGTGATATGCAGGAGGGGGCTTTCGGGGCAAAGGAGGGACCTTAAGGGGGTGGGGAGAGAGAGGAAAGATGGGGCCAGTCTTCACCCCTTAGAGCTAAGTGGGAAGCAGGAAGGCCAGCGGCAGTGAGCCTTCAGAGCCCAAGGAGGGTGGGCAGTGGAGAATGGCCCACCTCTGATTCCAGAGTCTCAGCTTGGGGCCAAAGGCTC